CTGTGTCTATGTCTGTGCGTGTGTGGGTGTGTGTGTGTGTTTGGCGATATAAATTCAAGAATAGCTTCTTATAAACTCAATGATCTGCCCCTATGTACTGTCTTATGGTGCAGCAGCGGCGTATTGAGTACTGTATACCTGAACTGGTGACTTACTTAGCGAAGCAATGTGCCTATATGTAGCACACATGTGTTGAAACTCATAGACTCCTAAAAAAACCGAACAATAAACTGTGTACATATTGCAAATGTCAATTTTCTAGAAGGCTATGTTTAAACACAATATCAAAACCTTACCGCCGGAAAATTATACTGACAGGTGTCGAGCGATGAAGATGTGTGATAACTGACCAGAAACGCTCCAGTTGTATTTTAATAGCAATTATTCGGGATACAGCTGATACGCCGTCTGCCTCGCCACTGTGATCTGCAGGCTGGTTATACCACGCCTTCTAGCGATAGGAGGACAATCACAATCCTCCAGTTAGGATATGTAACATAGCATGTGTTCGATTATAACCAACTAACTGGCCAGTGAGCGTTCACTCGTATCTTCTGAATTGATACGTCAGCCAGTCGTTCAAATATATCGAACCCACACATCGGTGGGAACTAGATACCTAACAAACCAACCAGGAACATACTAAAACAACATGGTAAAGTCGGAACTTCGAGTGACGCGAGACCTCAATCTTGAAACCAGCTTGTTAATAAACTCTCGGTCAAGCAGTGATGATGGCCACCATGCGACTGACCTATCCGAACATGGAGACGACATGCAATCGACCCCGCACGACGATGAGAACAGAGAGTATAGCAAAACACATTTGTCCTGGCGTATTGTTGCAGCAATTGGTATTGCAAGCCTGACATCTGCGCTGATGGGCTATGATGAGGGTATCATGTCTGGTGCGGTGATTACACTACAAGCGTCGCTGGCGCTAACAAACTTCGAGACCGATGTCATGATGGGTTGCCTGAACTTTTGTTCGACCTTTGGTACGCTCGGCGCCTCCTACATATCCGATGCGTACGGTCGCAAATCAGGGCTGTACGCCACTACGGTCTTACTGATCGTAGGTCCCTTGTTGATGTGTTCGGCATATACATACACTCAGCTGATGATCGGGCGAATAGCCACCGTTTTTGGGTGCGGGTTTGCGATAGCCGTGGCTCCCCTGTACGCCGCTGAACTGGCACCTGCTACACTACGCGGCAGTCTCGTGGCACTCGCCGAGACAAGTATCAACTTCGGTGTGTTTATGGGGTATGTTGTAGCCTATATGCTAGCCCGCTTACCGAATGACTACGATTGGCGTTTAATGGTTGAGGCAATCTAGTCGCATCCGTTGCTACGCTTGCGATGCTTCCGTTGGTTCCCGAGACACCCCGATGGCTCAGACTGCAAAACCGTTTAACGGCACCTGCACAGTCCGCTGGTGTGCAACGGGTACCAACTTCAGCCCAGGGTCTAGTCACTCAGAGATCGGCATACACTGACATACTAACACAAGGTACTGCAGAGGGCACCTGGGGCGATATCCTCTTCCCGACTGCTCAGACCAAGAGCATGTTGGCGGCAGGGTTGGGTATAGCTATCTATCAGCAGGTGTGTGGCTCTGAGGCAGTTGTGTACTACACACCGACTATACTCGTCGAAGCGGGTGTGGGCCCGAGCCAATCCGATGACACGGTTCTCCTGTGCACTATGGCTGTGGGCTTCACCAAGTTTCTCTTCGCAGGTTTGGGTGCCTATACCGTGGAGCGTACCGTACGAAGGGCATGTGCTATCCTGTCCTGTGGCGGCACGGCTGTGTGTTTACCAGGGCTTGCGGGGGCTAAGAGATGCGACCACCCCAATGGTGCGGTAGCGCTACTGTGTCTGTTCATGATGTACTTTGAGTCGGGTCTAAGCCCACTCCCGGCTGTGTTGGGCTCGGAGATATACCCCATGGCCATACGCGCACGTGCTGTCGCACTGGGGACGTTTGTCAACCGCATCATTCCCAGTTGTTCGGCTGGTGTCTTCCCGTCCATGCTACACACTTTGGGCGCGCCGAATACGTTCCTGGTGTTTGGCTTGAGTGGAGCTACGGGTGTGTTGTACTGCTATGGTATTGTCCCCGAGACCAAGGGACTGACCTTGGACGACGTTGAGAGTCTGTTCCAAAGCCGGGCCATGGCGGATGCAAAGGACTGTACACGGTTGGCTTCAGACGCCGATGAGAGGGATGGCAAACTCGGCTGAAAGTTCGGTAGTGTTTAGCTCTACAATGCAATCAGTGCGTCTGTCTACTGAGTGGAATGGACGTTTCGTCAGGATTTGAAGGCTCGTCGAGGCTCAGGATATCATATCATACGATACTAACCAAAGTCTATTCGTAAACGTTTTTGCGTAGAGAAGGGCTGTCGTATGAATCAGGTCAAGACATTTAGTATTTGAATGGTAGTGTCTCCATAGCCTCAGGGCTTGTATTGAAGTACCACAGAATGAACCCTACCCCACCGAAAACAGTGGCGAACAACGACTACGAGGGATCTGTGAAGCGTATAACTACAGTAACGCAATACGAACCATAACTCGAAACAAACTGGTTTTAGCTCTAACCAAAACCATTGGTGAGATGGGGGTTGTGCTGCGGCTCCCGCTGAGAACTGTTCATATCATAACAACAGATATACTCGCCCGTACGCACAAGGTGCATATACATATGCATGCATGTATTTAATACAAGTCGTAAAGAACGCGAACAGTGTTATATACAAGGGTCCGGAATATGGCGGAGCCACAATTGAAGTATGTAGCTTTGCCGAGGCTCACAACGACTAGATATCTCAAGATTGCGATAAATGGATATATTCTCACTGCAGAATACATACAACTACCTCATACTGGTAATTCGTGCTAGTGTAGAATGCGAGCAACAGGTCGAATATAATGTATTGAAGTAGCAACCGCGTCATTCGGTATATCTTGCGTATACTGTGATCATGGTCTTTCTCTAGATCGAAAAACCCAACAACCAAACTTTATCCTTCAATCGTGCGTGAATGTGTATGTACATGGTTGCAAGATATATTCATCGAGTTGTGATCTATATATAGTTCTAGCATCCGCTAACTCGGCCCAAGCTTCGTAGCACTATAAAATCAAGAAAAATTTCTAATAAACTTAATGCCTACTGTCGTCGACCCACATGGCTCTGTGATATCCTAACGGAAGCGAAGAAAGACATCAATTTCCTCCTACGCCAAACAACTCATTTTGTTAAACGAAAAAACCCGAGAAGTAGAAGGGACCACTCCAGACGATCCAAAAACAACACGTCGCATGCTGTTTTATTACTAACATCATATGCTGTCCTATTTATAACTAACATCATATGCCAAGCACTTTTATTTATTTCTTCTTGTTCGCGGCGGCGGCGGCGGCCTCGGCCTTGGCAATAGCACGCTTCTCACGCACACCAACGTACTTGGCGTTAGCACGGGCCATACGAAGAGTGTAGAAAGCGTTGAAGTTCTTCTCCTCCTCAGTAATGGCACGAGCCTTCTCACGCTTGTGCTGCTGTGTGACGGGAATGATGGCTCCGGTCAATTGCGACGCAGCCTTGATGTCCTCGGCCTGGAAGAAGGAGTGGGACGTGTTTATTAGTTTGAGTATAGGTGTGGTGTACCGGACAAGGAAGGGGTATAGTTGATTAGGTACAGTGAACAACAAGGGAAAGTTCATCAAGGACAGTTCTGTCAGACATGATTGCCTGAGTAATTCTAGAGCATATTGTTGATTAATCATCACTTTCCCTTTTAGGCACAATCTCTAACTAAAATATATCGCACAGCAATCTTAAAAACATTTTCCTAATTCAATATACAACATTCTCATACATACAAGTGCAGTATGTAAACAGACATATCTTCCTAAAGATATAGCATATTGTAGCATACACACTTGCAATCACTTAAATACGTTCAAATGTGTATATCCACACACAAAAAAACACGGTGGCGTCAAACTTACGGAAGCATCTCCCTTCTTGGCCTTGCCGGCACGCTTGGGGAACACGATGAGACGCTCGTTGTACTCCTTCAGGCGCTGTACGTTACGGTTAAGGGCCTCGACTGAGCGGGACTTACGACGGTGGTCTACGGCAATGCCAACAGTGCGAGCGACCTTGGCGCTGAGACCTTAGTACAGAGAGGGATAAGAAGTACAAAAGTATGTATTTGTATCAGGTTGTATTCGATTAAAGTGCAGGTGGGATATCTAGGTAGACTCTGATGTAGAGTATAGAATAAGAGTGCATGCCAAGTTGCTTTCGATAAAAGTGCTAAGTATAATATCTGGGATGAGTTTGATATGGGCGCTTTGAGACACTACTACGCTACGACGTAGGATTTGACTATCAGTTCACAAACAAGGAAAACTCATCAAGGACAGATTTATCAGGCAACATTGCCGAGTAATTCTAGAGCATATTGTTGATTAATCATCGCTTTCCTAAAGTGACATCTACGCCATTGGCATGCACACTATTCTAGAAAGGTAGGAGCCGCCGCACAAGCATCTGCACTGAGGGGCAAACTCTTTTTCAAACAAACGTAAGCGGCCGAGCATGCAGCATGCAAAGCAATCCCCATCGATCCAGACACTCTCTAGGCACGTTATAGTAGTTGACCTTTACCAACCAATGATGGTACACCCTCACAGAACGCGGACTCTATCTTACACCACACCCGTGAAAGGCACATACCAACACCATAGTACCCCAACCGACAGCTGTAACGCCCACAACAACAGTACACCATCACAACCTACAGCCAACAGCATAACCAAGCACCTACCAGCCTCCTTAATCTCGTCAAGAGTGAAGCCACGTCCAGAGCGCATACGCGAGTTGTACTTAGCGGTGGGGCAGCGAACAGCGGGACGCACCAGTCCAGCCACAGGGCGGGGTGCGATCGCTACGGCCCTAAAAATAGTGTCAAGCAAGTATTAGAAAGATATGTATTAGGATAACGATGTCAGAGTTTGGTGGGTGCGGGGAACGGGTGGACAAGGACGAACGGAATACGGTATCATACGAGGACGTATAGAAATAACCTTGTTTCGATAGGTATAGTTTGGTAGTCGTACAATACGTATTAGAGACACAAGTAGAAGTGTGAGATGTGAATGGGATGCGTACAAAGAGGAGGCTCATCAAGGACAGATTTATCAGGCATGTTGGTCTGAGTAATTCTAGAGCATATTGTTGATTAATCACCGCCTTCCCCTTCATGTTCTCTCAAGTCAGTACACATAATATAGTTTAAAACGAAAGCATCCCCCGCTGAAGTACATGTTGCACCCATCTCGGAGCCTGTCACATCTCCGAATAAATACATAGGCGATGTGCACACACAGTTGGCATTTTAGTAGGCACAAACCACAACGCCATAAGATATAGAATCAAAAGTAAACACGTATAATACAGCATGCATAAACAGCAGAACAAGCTACACAGACAGACCCCGTGTACCCTAACTTACTTCTGCTGACGAGAGACACGACGACGCTGCTTGCGTCCAGGCTGGTTGAACCAGCATTGGACGCGGTTCTGCCAGTCCTTTTTGAAGTGGGCATTGGGTACTACGTTGTTGTGTCTGACCATGGTGCTATTCGAGGATAAAGACGCATTAAGGTTAAGTCAGTTTTGTTATCAATATTTATGAAAAGCACCTTCGCGAATCGCCATCACGGTTTCAACTGTATTCGAGCCATATATTACAAAACTACATTTAGTCAACATAATATATACGCATACATACATACATACATATATATATGCATATATACACATTTATGTAGAAATGTATGTATATATATATACACCCACTCATATATATATATATATATATATATATATGTATATGCGTGGGTGTACACATCTATATCTATATATCTATATATGTGTATATATGCATATATATATATATACATATACGAGTGTGTATACATATACATATATATGTATATAAATATGTGCTTATATGTATATATATTTATGTATATATATATATATGTAAAAATATAAATATACGTTTATATTAGACATAAAAAATATATATTTATAGAAGTATAATTCCATTGACACACTTAAAATTACATACCTTCACTCGCAAACATACACATCCATATAAATTTAAGTAAATATTGTAAAGATGCAAACATATTTACATATTGCATATACAATATTATAGATCTATATACATATATAAACATTATCATGTAGCGAATACATACTGGCGTATATATATGCATATATACATGCCTACATACATACATATACCCCTGTACGCGTCGATGTGCACTTGCATATAATATGCAGATATACATATATACAAATGCATACCATACGGTCGGATGAACGCACTAAACATAAGTATATTTATATATATATATATATATGTATATATATAGTGTATATATTGAGTATAAACATGTACATATACAGTATATATATGCATATTATACATACATATATTTATATACAATGTATATGTATATGTTTATATATATTTATATATATATATATATAGGCATTTGAATGTTTCAATACATATATATATAGATACATATACATGTGTATGTGTACAATTATGTAAATATGCAAATAGACACATATTTATGCACATATACATACATGTGCATGCATATACACACATTTCATATATACATACATACATACATACATGGATACATATATATATATACATATATATACATACATACATATATATACATACACATACACATACATATACATATATACACACTCATATATATATATATATAGGATATATAGTACTAC